TTTATCATTCTTATTTTGTCACTACTATCAACAATAATAAGAAAAGAGCTTACAGAGCAACCTCTTGAATCCCTAAGCAATGCATCGAGAGATTAGCAGCAGAGAGCAGTGGGCAGCTCGAGAAAAGCTGTTCAACAAATGTAGAGGCATGCATAATAAGATTACTGAATTGGAGTTGCATGTTTTCAAGGATAAACGTGATATTGCACTGGCAAAGACATAGTAGGAGCAAGGGAAAGGATGAGAAATCACCTGTCAGAACAGAGGGACTGCTGCAGCAGAGCTTCCAACAGGACAGGGACAAGTGGGAAGTGGAGGCAGCGAGGAGGAGAGGAAGTGCACATCCTACTTGACATGCAGATATGCAGAGAAGCATTTTGCAAAGTGGGTGATGTCATCGTGTTTTTCTCAGCCTTCAGGACAGCAAGAGAAAAATAGATGAAGCCAGCACATGCAGAGGAGTCTGTAAGACGAGCAGACTTCCCCCACACACCCCATGCAACACTAATTGCTCAGATATTGATCAGGGAAATAACTCGTAAGGACTAAAAGAAGAAAGGATTTCTTTTCCTCCTAGGAGACAAAAAGGGCAATGCTCTTGCAGAGTTGCTGGAAAGGTCCAGGTGATCACAGAATTACCAAGACCATATAATTAAGAGGTTGAGTTGGTCTAATTTGTTAACACTGGAAGGCATGGAAAAACTGCAGCCTGATGGTTTTCAGGAGGTCATTGCAGTCTAGTCGGAATTACAGCTAGGCTGGTTCTCCCAAGGGGCACAAACATCTCACTGGGCACATGAAACCAGCACCAATCCTAACTATCTTGGTTAGTAAAAACCAAACAGCTACAGAAGGGACCCCTGCTCTGGTCACCCAGGGCTGCTGGCTGGGTTGTGAGTGACAGAAACCTGCTGCCCAGGCTTAACTTTGGCAAGGGAAAGAGTAATTAAGATTAAAAGCCCAAACCAGAGTGCTTGAGAGCTGCTATCTACTATTGCCCTGTCATGGACATTTAGTCCCAAGAAAAAGCAGCAGTTCTGCTTGGCTTCTGGAGAGCTACTTTTCTTTCCTGAGGAAAGGGAAAGCTGCCACACAGTAAAATGTAATACCTACCCCAGAAAATATCTGCACCTCATCTTCATCTAGGTAAATCCAGACAGAAGTGAGCACCAGAGAGTCCTCTATACTTAAAAATGATGTTGTGTGTGCACCAAAGTACAGGAAGAATACTATTCAAAAAATTAAAAACCAACCACCAAGCTATTGAGCTAGACAGCAAGAATGATAAAATAAGCAAAAACAGTGATTGCAGGAAGAGGAGGAAGCATCCACAAAGCCTGCAGTGAGTATTTCTCAGGGATATACAGGCAAATAAAGTCATAGGAAGCAGGAGAAACTGATCTTTTAAAATATCCTGTAAGGCTGGGGAGACAAAGAGTAAGTTGTTACTAATACTGTTGGCTGTTCAGCCTGGAGAAGAGAAGAGAAGGCTGTGTGGAGACCTCAGAGCAGCCTTCCAGTATCTGAAGGGGGCCTATAGGGATGCTGGGGAGGGACTCTTCATTAGGGACTGAAGTGATAGGACAAGGGGTAACAGGTTCAAACTTAAACAGGGGAAGTTTAGATTGGATATAAGGAGGAAATTCTTTCCTGTTAGGGTGGTGAGGCACTGGAATGGGTTGCCCAGGGAAGTTGTGAATGCTCCATCCCTGGCAGTGTTCAAGACCAGGTCGGACGAAGCCTTGGGCGACATGGTTTAGTGTGAGGTGTCCCTGCCCATGGCAGGGGGGTTGGAACTTTATGATCTTAAGGTCCTTTCCAACCCTAACTATTCTATGATTCCATGATTCTATACCTGCCTATTAAATATTATTTCATGTAGCAGGGGAGAGCCCCTCAGTGCTCAGTTTTGTGTATACTTTTCCCACTGGGCAAAGTGAGCACAAGGGTGTGCAGCACAGCAAGCACCCCTAAGTTAAATGGGCTGATGGGTGAAATAGTTCAGGCACCGGTTGCACAATTTGACCCTGGGGAAGGGCTGGAGAGCTGCCCCATGGCTCTACAGCACCTTGCACAAGGTCAGTGTGGCTTCGGTTACATCTGCAAAGGACTGCAGCATTATAGGAAAGGAGCAAACACCCCTCTGCTAGTGCTGGGGAGTAACAAGGCAGCAAGCCTGGGGCTTCAACAGCCGTCTGATGCCTCATTATAGAGATCTTGAGGCTCTCAGATCAGGTATTATAAAATCTTACAGAGCATTCTTTCCAGTCACGTATAGAGTGAAGCATCGCACATAAATAAGACACTGCTTGCCATGAGGTAGGTAGTTCAAAAACCAGTCAGATTGGTCAAGAGATATGGGTAAATCCACAGTGGATAAAACAGCAACAAAAACGAAGGTTTGGGGAATTCTTTGCTTATTTAAATGCCATTTTCCACCCCATGGTACATCACATAATTCCTTAAAATCCCCAAACACACACAATTGAACGCCTCTCAGTATTTAACCAGTTCCAGGATAACCATGACAAGTTCTGCAGTAAGCTGTTGTGGAGGAGTCAGGTCAGGTTCTGTGCAGGAAAGCCCACTTTGCTGGTGTGGAACATGGCTTACAGAGGGGTTGTGCTGGGTCTGGGTTAGAACCTGCACTTGTAGCCATTTTTTAGATACCTTAAAGAGAACATGAAAGTAACCTGTATTTGTTCCAATTAGATGGAAAAACCTTTGCACTGAGTGGTACCAGTCTGAAGAAAAAGAATAAATGAGAGTAGTACAGACTTTCCAAACAATGACTTTAGGTCCTTCGGTGATAATCATTAAACCTCAGAAGAGTTTACTTTGTTCTCTTTCTAAAGGAACAGTTTGAGCTCCCAGACCTGGCAAAGCAGATGCAGTCTGGCTTCAGGAAAGCTGACAGAAGTTCCTGGAGGCCCATAGCCTCAGCAGAAGTGTTTCACTGAGCGGACACCTGAGGAAAGCTGGGCAGGAGCTACCAGGCAGCAGCTCAGATTTAGAAAATGAGCCTGAAACAGAGCCTGGGCACAGCTGGTTAGGTCAGATAACAGGTCAGGCTGCCAAGTCCCTCTCCCCATGTCCTTCCATCAGAAGTTGAAAGCTGAGTCCAGCCTATTCAGTATGTGGACTGAATTCTCATGAAGGCGATCAAAGCAAAGGGCATACTCTGGCACAAGAGAATAAGCTATCCACCAGCAGGGAGAAAATCGGATAAAGAATAGGCTTAGCAGCACTGCTGTCCCTGCCTGCTAAGCTAATTGTTCATCATGCCCATTTGCCTTGCTATGCTTGAAAAGAGGAGAAATTCATGTTTGTGAACTGCTGGAATATTTGAGGTCTGAGAATGTACAGCACCATTTTCATTACAGTAATAAAGTCACAGAATGGTAGCTTTAAACGCTAAGGATAATAATGCAATATAATGCAATACCATTCACTCAATTAATCCACAGCCTGCAATGTCGAATGCACTTACTCTGAGAATTTTCTCAGAAAATGAAGCTAGAGTGAATTTCATCTATAAATCACACAAGACACTTATTTGGCAAGAATGACCTCTGCTCATACACAATAAATCATGAACATCAACAGTCTCTAATGGATTTTGAGTCAGTGCCACAGACAGCAAAGCCCGGGGCCTGTGTTTCAGGATTCCAGGACTCTGCCAAAGGAGCCTTATAAATGATTAATGCATTCAGCAGTGTCATCTGTGCCATTGGAGAAAAAAAAAAACAAAAAAAAAGACATTCTGGGGCTCCATTTGCCATTAGAAAAGTGATAATTGGTTAAGCAGCTGACCATGCCTTTCCCTTCCCCTGCCAGAATGAGCCATTTAGCTCCACACTTCATAAAATCCCTTCCCCAAACTTTTGTACATGCTGTTGGTTCACGACATGCAACATTTTGGTAAGAGAGGGAAAGAGATTTGTTTTCATAAGTAGTCCACTGAAACCAGACTTCCTATGGGATGGAGCCAAGGTTTGCGTTTGCAGATGCACGTACAACATGGAGGCGACATTAAAGAGGTAACTGGGGCCTCTTTCTACTTCTTTGGCATACCGTGAAGATGCCAGTACATGGAAAATCCAAGTTTTGATCCCTACTTCTCAGTCTCTCATGCTTTTCAGTTATTCATCCCACAGTTTTCAACCTCTCCCCCTTCACTTTTGTCCCCATGGTTACTGAATCACTGTGTTCACAGAGATTTTCCTAACTAAAGAATATGTGACTAACATGAGACAGCTAAAATACCAGAGCCAACTCTGACATTGGTTTCTCCTAACATGGGTCTTATCTTCCAAATGCCTTCAAATAGATCTCTTACACTGGCACCAACTTCAGAGTAAACAGTACTTCAACTATTGACAGCAACAGAGCCGCAACAGCATTGCACAGGGAGACTTAAAAGAGTCTTGAATCAGGCAAAGCATGAAATTCAAAAGGAAGGTAGCTTCCGACTAAGAGTGCTGATACAAATACCTAGGAGATGTATTTCACCAGAGAACTTTGATTTAGGTCCTAGAAAGGAAGGCATTATTTCCTGACTGGACGTGGGTCTACAAGTTCAAGCAGATTTCCTCTTCTTAAAAGCCAGTTTGGTTAAACAGTAGGACACACATTTTGGGCCCAAAGAAATCTGTCACAAAACACATCAAGACAGGACACTGGATAGCAAGTCTACAACCTCCAGCCACAGCAGTCAGTGTATACTGCTGGCCCACAGGTCGGTGAAGCTGCTCCCCCCTTGGTTAGCAGCCTGGGCTGCCCCAGGGGTGCTTAAAATAGATCCTTTCCAAACTACACCAAAAAAAGATACTTTAAAACCTGTTTGCATCTGAGAGGCCTTTCTGCCCTTTACTCACAAAATCCATCCAGCCACAAGTGCCTAGATGCTAAAGCAAGGCTAGCAGGACAGCACTTCACGTAAGCAACACCAGAAATGAGCCAATATAGACAACACTTGAAAATAAATGTTGAGTTCTTACCTTGGCAGCTACGGAGGAGTTGGGCTTCTCCAGGAGATCCCAGAGCTTTTTCCTTTTGTCAGCACAGCAAGTGTTATCAAATTCCTCCCCTTCCCTTTCCCTCAGTGTCTCGGCTTCTCTCTTCAGCTCCTCATTCATCTGCTCCTTTTTCTGGTGGTAGCGGGCCTGGCAGCAGGACTCCAGGTAGATCTCATCCACCCCCCAGTAGTCCAGCTCCTGGCTGAAGGACAAGGCGCACATCTCCTCCATCATGTGCAGCTTGCCAGTACGGTAGAAGTTCAAGATTGAGGTGAATGCCCCGGGATGCCTGTCAAAGAAGTACTCATTCTCTTCCAGGTTGTAGTCATCACAGATCTCCATAAGGGAGTCGTGTGTGTTGCAGTCTCTGAGCTTACCCAGCCTGGTCCGCGGCAACCTGTCCAAGGTCCGCCAGAGAACCTCGTGGGCCAGCCCCCCCACGTTGAGCTTGACCCTTCGGGAGCAGGCCTTGCTCCTGACGATCTCGGTGGGGTCCGGAGGCAAAGAGGTAGTAGAGCGAGATCCATGCTTATTCATCCCCAGAGGCATCTCTGGTCCCCCTCAGGCTGGACGCTCCAAGGTGCGGCGTGGGGCAGGGTGCGCGGGGACCGGCTCTCCTCACCTCTCCTTCCCCTCCATGCCCCAGAGCTGCAAGAGAAGCCAACCATGGGTCCCCGCCCGCTGACCTGCGCCCGCCTCGGCGCTGCCTTATCCCCGCGGGGGGCGCCCGGCCCCGCTAATCTGCGGGGGGCGGCGGCGCTGTCCGCCCGGGCGGTGCTGAACCGCGCTCCGCGCAGCCCCGGCCGCTGTCCGCGGTGCTGAAGGCCGCCCGATCCCACGTGTCGGCCAGGCTGCTGTCGCCGAGCTCCCCCGGGCGGCGGCCCGGTGCCCCCCTCCTCTGCCCGGGAGGGTCTCTTGCACACCCCGTCCGGGAGAGCCGCGAGGGCTGGGCTAGCCCCGGAGCCTCTGCTAGCAAAGGCCGGGGAAGTGCTGACTGACAGGGGAGGGCACAGAGCTTCCCCCCTCACCCCCCCCCCCCGAGCGCCACTCAGCAATGCGCCCCAAAAAGGCTTCGAGCCGCTAGCCAGTGGTGCGCTGGCCCCTTGTCCCCCATCTGGCAACCGGCTAGGAGCGTGCCGGCCCTGCCACCACTTTCTCCCGCAGTGGGGCCCTGGAGGACCGCGGACCCCAGGTGCCCCCACGACCCAGCCGGGGCAATTCCCCTCCTGGGAGCCGGCGATGCTCTCCGCCCTGTCCAGCCATGTAGGCTGCAGGGAAGCGTGGAGGCTTTTTATAACTCCAGCCTTGCAGATTTCCCAGAGGAAACCGCTGGGGAAGGTAAAAGGGGAATTCGCAGCCACTCTAACGACTCGCTCTCCCTCTCTGGACTGCCCAGGGACACCCACACACACACCCCACGCCGACCTCTGCAGAACAGGGAAATCAACGAAAACCGGAATTCGGAATAAGGCAAAAGCCCCGAACCTTCCTAGCAAAGCCGGGTGCCTTATGACAGCCCTAAGCACTGTTGCTTACACAAGATGGCACGGAGAGAAACCCCGGCGCAGGAAAGAACGGCTCCCCCATGCTCAACTGCCGCAGCTCCGGGGCCTCAGCCCCCTCCCCACCTACCCAGGTACCCCCAGCCTCAAGAACCAAACGCCGCCGCTGTCTCCCTGCCGCCGCCGTACACAGGGAAAGGCTCCCGTCCCTCGGCCCGAGGCCGGCCCGCACCTACCTCCTCCTGCGGGCTCCCAGCGAGGCGGTGCGGGGCTGTGCGGGGCCGAGGGTGGCTACATCCTGCGGCGGGGCGGGCAGCAGCGGCGGCCCCGCTCGCATCCCCCCGCGGGCAGCCTCAAGGAGGAGGGATGGCGGCAGCGCTCCCGGCTGTCCGCGGAGCCCTGGGGGAGGGGAAGGGAAACGAGGTAAATCGGATCCTTCGCAAGGAAGCCTTCCAAGGCCTTCCCTCGGCGGCGGCTCCTCACTCCTGCCTACAGTCAACGCCGAAACCGCATCTGCCCCCGCCCCCCCCAGGCTCTCTCTCGGTGCAGACACAAAGGAAAGCTTCGGTGCTTCCTTCTGCTGCCTCGGAACGGAGATCAACAAGTCTAGTCTGAGCCTCCAGCTTTTCCCTGCAATTCTGTCCCGGAGTTGTTTGGAGTGAATTGGAAGTTGGGGGTGGAAGAGAGGAAGGCAGCTCCACCGTGAGCTGGGATGCAGCATTGCAGGGAAGGTTAACGCTTTCCTGGCTGGGCCCCACCGCCCCGGGGCTGACTTCCAGCTTGGAGACGTCTAGAAGGGACCTAGCACAGTGGGGATAGCCAGAGCATCCTTCCTTAAGGGGATAGGTCTGTTCCAGTCATTCTCCAGCTCCCGGTGGTATCACCCATGAAAACAGGAGCAGGGATTGGTGCCAGAAAAAAAGTGATGAGCAGAGAGCACTGATAATCCCAGCAGGGCCCCTATTGCTTCCCAGGCCCTGCTTGCTGAGCCAGGAGCAGCTGAGCTCAGAACGGCTGCACATTCCTCTGTGGCTGAGGAGTGAACTGGGCCCTTATTCTCACCGCAACAGCCCTCATCAAAGGGAAAAGCCTGATCTCAGGATGGTTGTGTATATTTGCAGGTAGGAGGAATAGCAGTGGAATTCTGCTCCTGATTAGGGCTATGAATAAATAAAAAGCTCTTACTAACCTGAAAACACAGCAGAAATGGAGAAAAGAGTGACTTTCCAGGCAACAGCGCAGCACTCAAAGTATCACTCTGCCCCTCTGTCCTTCTCATCTTCTTCCTTCACTCCCAACAGGGGAAATGGACCTCACGGGGAGCCCAGAGCTCCATTAGCACCATTTAATGGGTACATTAGCATCACTTAATGCACTTCACCTGCTTAGGCTGGTGCACCAGAGGTACACAGCAGTGCTTGCTAGCCCTTTCTCCTCCTGTATCGATTGACCATGGCTTTTGGACTGTAGTGACAATTTCAACTACAAGGTTCCTAAAATAGGAGCCAGGTGTTTGTTTTACATGATTAACTAAGGGAAAAGACCCTCATTGCTGCTTTTCCCTACTTTCTGTTCTTCTCTCCTTAGCCCAAACTTGGCTCCCATGTACCCAATGTCCAGGGTACCCAATATCAATGTTATGTTATTATATTTGGTGTTTAAATGTCCACATCTTCCTTAAAGATAGCTTCCTGAAATCCCAAACACTGTTTGCTTTTCTCCAGAACCTCCCACAACTGGATGTCATCTGTATATTTCAGAATTTCTTACAAGGAGAAGCAGTCACTACTTACCTTTTACTGATGAGGAAATGAAGATCCAGAAAAGCAAGCTCACCCAGAGGGGAGGTGGAAGAAAGAATAGGGAATAAAACTTGTTGACAAGCTGAATCCCAGCCTAGCACCCCTCAAATGAAGTAGCTCCCCCTACCCCATTAAAACCTACAAGCAGTATCCAGAACACTTCAGTTCTCCTCTCACTTTCCCCTCATTCCACCTCCAGACCCCACTTTAGTCCTCTTACAGCAGAGATGGAAACCCCTGATCAGAACTCGGAAGTTAATGATTACAAAGTGCTTTGAAGCTTCCAGCTGGCAGGTGCTGCAGGAGAGCTAGTCATTTGTTTTTTAGCACTGGCATCCAGGGCAAATTATCTCCCCTTGTGACAAACGCTGATGGATCTGTTGTGGGAAGAGGATGCTGGGAGGGAGGATGACAAGCAGCCTAATGCAGGGAGATGCATCAGATTCAATGCAGTTAAATCACTGCGAGAGAAGCAACGTGGGGTTATTATCTTCCTGGATCACTCTTGCTACCCTGCCAATGTCATTCACATGTTCTGCCTAGGGTCTAGAGAACCAGACATGGAGGGGGGGGCACGTGAAGGGTCAATGTAAAGCACAGACTCCTCCAATGCTGTCTACTCACCCTTCCACATGTGCCTCCTCGTCAGCGCTGAAGAACCTCACTAGAGTCTCAGTTAGAAGCTGCAAGAGGGAGCCATGCCCAGGGCAGACCCTTCCACTGGCTGTGCCTGGCGTGATCCAGGAGTCTGGGGAGAGGAGAAGAGGTTTCCATCCCCAGGATGGCTGTTCCCTGCAGCACTTTTTGTCTCACAGTAGAGAGTTTGTCAGCAAGGGGCAGTGCAGGCCTGAGGATGCAGAAATGTGGAGCCTGCTTGCTCCTCTCCAAGGTTACCTAACCCACTCCTGGTTTGGATATACCTTTCCATTGGTGTTTTTGTACCCTCAGCTTCTGCAAACTTAATTTATAGTTTGTTATTTCCACAGCCCAAGGAGCCAGCCAAATGCTTGAATGCAGTCTGTGGCACCCTGTTCTTTTCCAAGTATTACAGCAGCTATTGATAGGCAAACACTTTAAACCTCAAGTACTTTAGAAGAAATATGCAGAGTATGGCAAGTATAGGTTCTCCTGGACTTGCAGTCAATGGTATATACCCATCTGGATTTCATCTGCCTGGCAGAAAAGGTCTATAAGACAGTGGTTTTGAGCTACAACATGATATGGAAATAGGCTGGGCCTAAATGTGGAAATATCCCTCTGCTGATCCGCAGTGACTCCTCTGCCTGCATAAGGAGAAGTATCACATCTTCACGAACACCCACTCCCATACAACAGTCTGGCATCTTGTCCACCCTGAGAAGCAAGAGGGGAGGCTGATTTACATCATTCTACTGGTCACAGAAAAACAAAGGGCTGTGAGAAAAGGAAGGCTCCTCTCCCAGCCCATAAACAACTGCTCAGCCATGTCACAGTGATGGTATGTGGAACAATGGGCTTCCAGCAGAGATGGGAGCAGCAGCTTTGGTGGTCCACGAGTTTTGGCTGGTTCCTGGTGCTGAGGGGATGCTGGGTTTCACATTCTAAAATGAGCTATAAGATGTAACAATAACTCATATTGTTCTTGCAGCCTAAGGGCTTGGGACTTGTCCTTGTGAGTGGGAAAGAAAGCCACACACAGTAAGCTGTCTCCGTCACACAGTGTTTCTTATTGTGTCCCTTTAAGGATTCCCTTAATTTCCAGGGATTTTATTTCCAGCCCAGAAACACTTTAGGTACAATTGAGGTTTTCTTTTAGAGTCCATTTTTTTTTCCTTAAGGGGAGGGGGGAATCAGGTTTCTTGTCAGAGATCTGTAGCGAGTGTCAAAAAGTGCAAAAAGAACTGACTGCGGAGTGGTTGTGCCACCGAGAGCCCAGGAGTGTGGAAATGCTGGAACACCAGGGAAAAATATAGGAAGCAAACGGAAAAATACAATCCAAAAATGAACCTTAAAGAGACAAGGCGATGTCAGCAGTGGCTGAGCTCCATCATCACATTCTCCACTAGTGAAAGCCCCTTTTGGAGGAGCTCAGCCGTAGCTGCCAGTTTACAGTGCCACAGGGGAGCAAGCTCTGCATGCAAAGGGAAGCCTTGGTAACCACAGCTTTCCTGGCCCCCAGCATGCACCTCCATTCACTCTTGTCCTTTGCCAGCTCCTCTTCTCATCGTGGTGAAAGAAAGCCTTTCCCAAACTGCTTACATATATTTATAAGTCCATCACAGCTCGTTGGTCCGGAAGAGGGGCCTGACCTCTCCCATGCTCTCTGAGTCCTCAGAGAAGCACCAAAGGATCTGAGAAGGATGAGCTGCTGCACTGGGTGTCTGCCCAAGTGGGAGATGGAGGAAGGAAGGGCAAAGAGATTTCAGCAGGAACCACGTACCAGGGAACAAATGTACTTTGGCAGAGGGCAAAGTCTCTGAAGACTCTCAGCTATGAAAGAGTAAAGACTGGTAAGGACAGCCCTGTCTCTTGTTTGGGAGGACGGTATCCAGTGTAAAGAGTTGTTTTCAGCTTACCTAAACTTTTCACATCCATTTTGAAGTCCCAGGAGTGCCCAAAGTCCCCCCTAGACTTCTCGCCCTCCTGCCACCTCCCAGAGGGGCAGTCCCAAGCTGCACCACTGTTTGCCTGGCACCAGCCCTGCAAACAGCTCTTGGTGCGTAGTCAGCACCAAGAGTTGGGCTCCTTTCGTCTTTGGGAAGAGGGCAGGAAACACGCCAGTGCAAATTGGTTATCAGAGAAGCTTCTTGGTTCAGGTTCCCACAAAGCACATTCAGAGCCACCCCCCTGGCTCCAGCTTTCTGCCTTTCCCAGGATGTGCATTTCCTCCCGCACATCTATTAACTCTCCTCTCTGCTCTCACTGACCACAAGCACAGACCCTATGGCTCCTCTTCCCAAGGATGAATCCAGCAGATCCACCTTTGCTCTTGTCTTGATGAGGATGAGTCTGGAAGACTGACTGAAAGCTGTGGAAACACCAGCCTATTCCCTAAGGTGACCAGGTGTGTGAGCCTATCTTGTTCACATCAGGTTTGAGACCAAATACAGACCAAATACAATTACTTTAGGGAAGAAAAATACACAAACCTTTCTCCTAGTTGAGGAATAAATGGTCCCCAATGGCCAGTTTGTCCTTGCCACCTACCTGCTAGGGAATTTGCAGAATGACCTGAGACATTAATTTGCTCCTACCTGTCAATACCATAGGCCAAATCCCTGGGGCCCCTGGTCCACTGTCCTGCCCAGGAGGGACCAGTGGCAGTGGGATTCCATCAGCTTCTGCATCCCATAGAGGGACTTGGAGGATGTTCCATCCTTCTGGCTTATGCTGTTCAGGCAGGACTGGCATAGAGCAAAACCCAGCTGCTTGTAATACATTATCTAATGGTTAGCTTTAAGCACCAAGCTCTGTAAAGCAAATGGACTTGTTACGCTATTCAACACCTGCAGATTTATTAGCCCCAGAAGAGCTGGAGGTTCGCAGTAGTCACCTCACCGTTAGTCAGGAGGGAGGGCAGCAGAGCTAGAGGGGTTGGCCAGTCTTTGCAGAGGTAGGGATGTGACCTCTCTCTCACAGGGGTTACCAAGTGCCCATCCATCTGGGCTGCTTTCAGCTGATGAGCACTGGAAATGGTCCTGCAGCCATTTACATCCTCTGGGAGCTGTGGCACACCAACGCCACTGGGAGAGCCAGGGTCCAGGACCTAGATGCAGTATCATTCATGGAATTCATGGACAGGACTGATGCCCTCTCTAAGCTCCCACAATGGCTGGGATCCCTCTGGCAGCTGGGGGAAAGCAGCTTAGCTGGTGAAGCCCCAGGTCTGAAGAGAAGACATAAATGGGGATGTAAGAGAAACTAGATAAATGTTATTGACCCTACCATGTTTGCCATCAGATCTGTGCATTACAAACAAGTCCCTCTGATTCAGAGGCGTAGGGTGCCATTTCTCTCCCTGGGTTGGAGGAAGCATGACTGCTTTAACCAGCATTTGGAGAACAAGTCTGCTTGGAGAGAGTCGCAACAGGAGGGCATGAGCGCTGAGAAAGAGCAGTGGAGGGAACAACAAGTCCACCTTCTCCTGCTAGAGAATATGCTGGCTCGACTTTCAGAAAAGGCTTCTGGCAATGAGACTGCAAGCAGTATATCTAGCAACTGGGCCTCCTAAAGAGCTTCCCCATTCCAGTCCCTGGCAGCATCTTCCCCATGTGGTTGAAACAAACACAAGTGATG